TGAGGAACTAGAAGTATAGAAAGATTATCTCAATCCACTCAGCAAAATGAAGGGCAGACGTGGGGTTGACTTCAGACCCCCCTAAGGCTTATGCTCTTGATCCCAAAGACCAGGGATGTAGCCCCAGCTCTGTCACTGTTTCACAATGTATGGCACCTCAGGTGGCAACTGCACTTCTGGAGTTCAATCTTCTTACTGTCATCCCAGAGTCTTAAGGTTCCACCGGGATTTGAGCTATGAAAGCATCTGAAAACCGTGCTGAGTAACAACCATGGAAGATAATAGCTATCAATTCTTGTAGCTCACACTCTTCTCTATCAGGTCATTTCTTCCCCCTTTCTCAGCTGTCTTGAACTTATTTTTCCCTCCTTTGTCTCTTTTCTTGAGCATTTCTGTGACTTAACAAGGTCATTAGCAGTTGCGCCCAAGGAGCTGTCCATTGTCCTTACCTAAGAGCAACTGGGAGCCAGTGAGCATGCAGTACCTAATGTTTAAGCTCCTGTTACCTCCTATGCAAGAGCCCACTGTCCCCCTTTCCCTCTTTCTTCTGTGGCTTATCATAAAGGGGTCAGATTTCATAGAAAACAGCTGAGAGCCTTGATGAATTGTGAACAGAGCAGAGGCCCCACACCATTCTGGTAGGGCTGGAGGGAGAATGGGAGAGGAGCAGGGTGAGGGGTGAGGAGGCCAGTGGAGGCAGGGCAAGCATGCTGCTGGAGAAGCTACAGCAGCCAACTGCTTGTTCTCTTAGAGGGTCTGTAACATTTGGGGTTGCTAGGATTTCACAACCTGAGCGGAATCGCTGAAAGGGTTCCCTAGGTCTTCTGGGAGCCATCAGTCCTAAGCTGTGTCCTGTCCTTAGTTCATGCCATCACCAGGCAAGAAGAGATAAGCTATCCTGTTCCTCCTCAGGCATCTGGCCAGGGCTTCTCAGGGATCATGTCATTCTCCATAAAAGGTTGGGAAGACTTCCACAGTTCACAGGCTCCTTCATCCCCTTTCACTCCTGACCTGGCATTTCTAAGTATTTTGAGAGGAGCCCTGCCTGCACTGGAAGAGGGAGCCCCTCCCCATCATGCTTCAGGGCAGCACAGGGAGGCCAGGGAGCCTGCTGATTTTTCTTTTGCTTTGGCTCATTTTCCTTCTGGAGTGGCAGGCTCATCTCCTGCATTTTTAATAGCTGAGCATAGTTAGCATTCAACACACACATGCAGGTTGATAAGGCCCAAAGAGAAGGCAACAAGCCATCCAGAGGAGGAACATCTCCCCCCACCTCCTCCTGCCCACATCAGCCTGTATCCGTGGGCTAGAGTTTCCCCATCAATTGTCCATGCTGGGACAGCAGGGGAAGCAACAACTGCTAGGAAAATCAGACTGGCTGACTTGGTCACTTTGCCAAGGCCTGCTCCCTGGCTGAGCAGGGACTCGTAAGTAAAGGCTGAAATGCTCACGGTAGTGCCAAAGAGGCAAATGGCCACAACCTCCCAAGCTTAAGCGCTCTGGTCATCTAAGCCTTCTAGGTAGGTGGGGTAGAGCTGTGGCCATTGAGCTGAGCTTCCTAATTCCTGATTTCATCTGGGGATAAACCATCTTATCCATCTTTTACAGACTATATGAATGTTTTAGCTTCCTTAGGGTGGTCCCCAAGAAGCTGGAGGGTGAACTAGAAGAAAGGGGGTTGATAGTCTGAGTGGGTGTGGGAGCTGGGGTGGTTAGGCAGGGTGAAGTGGGGAGCCCTGGTAACAGGGGTACCTTCCATGTTTTTCTCCTTCCTTCTTTTTTTTGGGGGGGGTCCGGTCATGGGGCCTGAACTCTGGGCCTGGGCGCTGTCCCTCAGCTCTTCAGCTCAAGGCTAGCGTGCTACCACTTGAGCCACAGCACCATTTCCAGCTTTTTCTGCTTATGTGGTGCTGAGGAATTGAACCCAGGGCCTCATGCATGCAAAGCAAGCACTCTACCACTGAGCCACCTTCCCAGCCCTATGCAGTTATTTTCTTAATGTACCCAGCCATAGAAGGGTGAAAATAACAAAAACCGCAACCTATTTAATTTTGTGCAAAAATACCAGGAGGTCAGCCTGACCTCAGGGGTGTTTGCCCCTCTGTACATGTGAATTTGAGCTACTTAGAGAAGAAGTAGCTCACATAAATCTCCTGTTGAGGTCACCAGCCCCCTTGGCAGCCCTGCTTGTGCTTGCTTGGCTGTCCATGCAGAGCTCACTTGAGCCATGGGAAGGAACTTTGGCCAGGAATTCTCTGCATATGATCAGATCTCCCATGTCGATTCCTGCCAAAGGCCTTAGCAGTGTCAGATTAAATACGAAAAAAAATGAAATCTTCCTTCATTCTCATAAAAAAACCAAAGAGCCCAGTTAATTTAACACCTCTGAATGAAAGAAAAAGAGAGACCTCCCCACCCCTAAGGATCACTGGGAAACATGTCAAGATCTGTGTTGAGTCCGCAGCCACAAGCACTTAGAGCTCCTGAGTTCTTTCAATGTGGGTACTGTGATAATAGTCTTAGATGTGTATTTGGTGGGCTGACTTTCCACTCAAAGTGGAGAATGCCCAAACCTTGAAGGTTTCCCTGAAAGTTTACTTCTGGGAGGATGCTTTGGGACAACAGAAACCCTCAGCTGCCCCTCCATAAGGTAAGTTCCTTTGCTGATCATCCATGATCACCCCCTCCCCTTCCTCATTCAGGTGCTACTTGACAGACTGTTTTTCTTCTTCCTTGGGACATGAACTCAGAGAGCCTGGGCACTGTCCCTGAGCTTTTTGCTCAAGGTTAGCATTCTACTACTTGAGCCATAGCACTACTTCCAGCTTTTTCTATTTATGTGGTACTGTGGAATCGAACCCAGGGCTTCATGCATGCTAGGCAAGCACTCTACCACTAAGCCACATTCCTAGCCCAGACAACTATGTCATCGTCGTCTTCTTCTTCTTCTCCTCCTCCTCCACCTCCCCTTCCTCCCCCCTTCTTCCTCCCCCTTCCTTCATTCTCCTCCTTCTCCTCTTCCTCCCCCTCCCCCTCCCCTTCTTCCTCCTCCTTCTTTCTAGACTCTGAATAATTTTTCCCCTCTCTGGGGTGCTGGAGATTGAACTCGGGGCTTCGTGGCTTCATGCATGGTAGGCAAGCACTCAGTCACTGAGCTAGTTCCCAATCCTGAATAAATGGTATCATTTCCCATTTCCATCTTCATCTTCATTCTGAAACTTAAGAGCAAGTCTCCTAACTTTTGTCTTATAACCTTTATCTCTGAGATAAAAGTGAGCACTGTTTTGAAATATGTATAAATATAATGAAGATAACACTAACCTTAACTATGTATTAAACATGTCCAGCTATTGTGTTTGGTGCTTTATATGAAAAGTAGCTCAAGTTGGGGGAAAAAAAAAGCAGCTGGGTGCCGGTGGCTAACATCTGTAATCTTAGCTACTCACATCTGTAATCTTAGCTACTCACATCTGTAATCTTAGGCTGAGATATGAGGATCACAGTTCAAAGCCAGCCTGGGCAGGAAAGTCCATGAGCCTCTGGTCTCCAATTAACCACCAGAAAACTGGAAGTATAACAGTGGCTCAAAGTGGTAGAATGCCAGCCTTGAGCAAATGAGTTCAGGAACAGCACCCTGAGTTCAAGCCCCATAACTGACAAAAAAGAAAAAAAGAAAAAGTAGCTCACTTGCTCTTCACAGCAGTCCCATGGGGGAGAGCTATTTTAGCCCATTTTGCAGGGGAGGACGTAAAGGCACATCAAGATCACTCAGCAGAAATCCGTATCCAGACAGGGATTCCAGAGCCTGTGCTTATGTCATGACACCATTCAACGTGGCAAAAATCTCAGCTCTCCCAGGCCAATGACATGAGGGATTGCAGAGCAAGGCCTAGGAGACTCATGTTGCCCACAGGTTGTTAGCCTTAGGCTGGGTCTTCTCTAAATAGCTCCGACCTCCTACAGGTTAGATTTGAGACCCCACTATCTTTAGAGAACGAAGAAGGTACCCCATGAGGCCCAGTTACTTCTCGAGGAAGTCTCTTTTCCTACACTCATGTCTAACCTCTCTATACTGTCCAGAGACTCTCCCACATATTCAGTACAATTTAGCTGTTTTACTCAGGTATCGTGATTTGCTACCCCATTGTTGGATGCTTTTATTCCGTAGCTTCCCTAGGTTGGGAGTCAGTATAATGAACTAGCATCACTTCAATTAATTAAAACTGTTCCTTTTTAAACATAGAAAGTAGACAGAGTCTACACTTGTCCCTCCTCTGCCTTAGAGAGCCTGAAAGATAAGGCTGGAGGTGCTGTCACAGCCAGTCCTAAGTGCCCCACAGTGAGTACTGATAGCACTCCAGATACTCGCTCAGTTCAGTTTGCTTTCTTATCTGTCCATCCCACAAGGAAGCTTTTCTTACTTTCTGGTAAAGACAGATTTTAAAAATGGATGAAAACAGTCAGTCTGACAGCACCTTTCTACTTCCACATCAAAGGAGTGACCTCTGGTTTTGCCTCTCCTCTGTGGCCAGCTCCCAGAAAGCTAGGTGAGCCCCAGGAGCTGGGAGCTGAGGCCCTGGGCGTGGGGGTAGGGCTGTCTCTGCTTCCAGGGCTGGAGCAGCATCTCTGGCTGGCTCCTGGCTGGGCGGACTGTCTATGCTTTCCATTATTTACACCAGTTGCTCTTCACTGGGGCGGAAAATTGAGAGGTAACTGGCTAACTGAGGACTAGTGCGTTGTTTCCCTTTTCTTAGATACAACTTGGCTCAGCTCTCAAAAGCAGAAACATCCCCCCTTGTCAGGCACACGGCACTTTTAAAGTCCCACGCTCCCGCTCATATTTAGCTTTCTCATGCATCATTCTGGGTTCTTTCCTTGGTCTCCCAGATTCCTAGACATGATGCCCAGGAACAAAGCCAGAGTGTAAACACTGTTTCCCATGGTGACAGGGACAGGCAGCAGGGACAGACAGCTGCTGGCCGCCAGCCGCTGACACTCACCATGGTTTGTCCCTTGATCCTTTTGCGGGAAAGACTGTGTGCTGTTTGCTGCTGGAGGTAAGAAGATTGTCTTTGGGCGTTTTGAATGGCTTTGAGGTGCTGCTGGCAGAGTTATGGCCGCTGAGACAGGCTTTTGTTTTCACCTGTGCTACTACTGATGTCCTGGAATTGGAGGCCGGAGATGCTGGACAGGGAGAAGGTCTGCACATTGAACCGTGTCTTCTCTCTACAGGGGAGAAGGAACAGAACTCAGTCCAGCATCCATGGCGTGTGCTTGTACACAGTGCAGGTACACAGCAGTGCTCTTTTTGCCCGGGGCATCCCAACACCTCAGTTCTAATGATGGTTTGTCTTGATACTGCCTCTTGGTCCACCAACTAGCAATGATTACATTCTCAGTTTCTGTATCAAATAATCTGCTAAATTAATCCAAAGTTACTCATGGGAGGTATTACTGCTGTTTTGCCAAACCACTTCCACAGGAGTAGCAATGTGCTAATCAGCTGTCACATGACATGGTGGGATAGTACAGACCTAGTGTTACCCTGCAGACAGCTCATCAGAGGCCATAGGTTGTCCAGGGCAGTGAGTGAGCAGTTACAGGAATCACAGAACAACACATGGGGAACTCTCTAACCAGCCCCTCTCTCTACAAAAGGAGCACATGGATCAGAGGGACACACAGGACTGGAAGGTCCTTGAGAGCTAAAAAGTGGCTCAGTCTGCGTCCCTTCCTAGGACTGAGGGGATCATCTATTGACAAATGCCCCTTGTGTCTTTTCTAGGACCCACTGAAATTCAGGGCCTAACACACAGGAGAAGACATCAATACCAGAGTTAGAATCCACAGATATGAACGCATGGCTAAGCACAGCTTCCTGGCATTCTACAGAAAATTCCAGGGCTCTGGGTAGACTTGTTCATATCCCATCAGCTCCCAACAAGCTGACACAATGGGCAGAGGGAGAGAGTGATCAGGTCAGCAATTGCGTGAAGTGAAGTCCTAGCAAACACCCTGCATGGTGGTTTAAAAAAAATTAGATTAATCATGGGAAGGTGTATTCATTCTTACATTTCCACGTTTTTACAATATATTCCAATCAATCTCAAACCCTCTATCACTCCTTTCCCTTCTACCACTCTTCCCTAAACAATCAACAGATTTCATTGTTCTATTTTCATAGTTGCAAACAATCTATTTCAACCATGTTCATCTTTTCCCATCATCCTCTTGGTTAGTCTTCCTCCCTCTTTCTAGTATTCACTGTCAGGGTGATTCTAAATTGTTTTCAGGTAACAGATTAGATAAAAGCTAAGGACCCCAGAAAAAAATGTACCTTGATAATACCCCCAAACTGCACATGTATATAGCAAAGAATCTCTAAACCTAAAAAGATATTTCCTGAAGTCTCTAGTCCTGTCAGGCTCTCTTGTGCCTTGAATATAATGAGTGCTCAATTAATATGCATTGAGGAAATAAATGAAATTATAATAGATGCCCTGAGGCAAGAACAAGAGATCACACATCTGGATGGACTGTGATAATGGAAAAGATGAGAGGTGAGGATGGCAGATCATATTCTTTCTGTAGCCCAGAGTGGTCTCAGGCTTTTCTCCTTGGTCAGATGTTTCTGAATGCTATATCTGGCACCTGACCTGGTAGAAGGAAGCCAAAGCACCCCTGACTATCAGTGAGAGGAGTTTGAGGGTTCCTCAATGCTCTCATACTAATGGTCTGCCAGGCTGTCTCAAAGCAGACAGATTCTAGACTTGAGATGAAATCAGAATTGAGTGGAGGGAGTGAATTTTTTAGGACCATCTGATGGTTGGATATTTCTCCCTACTCAGTGTTCATATACTGTTTCCCCAGAAGTACCTTATGGAGTGATTTTTTTCTTCATTGACTCAGAGTAGACCTTGCATATATGCTTAGTTCCCAGAAGCTATCCCACCAAGAGCCAGTTTGGATGGTGTAGAGAATTCATGGCTGAGAGCTAGGAGAACTGGGATCAGCTCCTGCAATCCCATATGGTAAGGTGGATAACCCTGAGCTCACCACTTAAGCCTTCGAGGTTTCCATGTCCCAATGAAATGGGTCCATAAGTGGCTTCTAAAGGCTTCTTCCCACTCTATTACCATGAATACAAGAGGTGCATATATCTGTTCCCTTCTCCTCTCATTCCTCATGCTGCCTGGATATTATAGCAATAATTACAACTGAAGCATTAAAATATTTCACTTGGGCAGGTTCTTCCTTGGACGAATTCATCCTTTGTAAAATTGGACTGATGTTTTACAATCCCTGTGAGCCAGACAGCCGCTAGGTGATGCCATCCTTCTCACAGCTGAGTGGCTAAAAGAGACCCAAAGAAGCCAGGGGACTGCTAAGGTCTGTACCAAGGTCAAGGCAATGGCTACTTAAGGAATGGGGTCTTGGGCATGAGCCCAGCTACTTCTCGGAGATAGGAAGTAGAGTATACTACGAACAAGATTTGAAACCAGGGACTTGGAATGTGGCTTAGTGGTAGAGTTATTGAGTAGCATGCATGAAGCTCTGGGTTCGATTCCTTAGTACCATATAAACAGAAAAGGCCAGAAGGGTGCTGTGGCTCAAGTGGTAGAGTGTCATCCTTGAGCAAAAGAAGCTCCCTGGGCCCTGAGTTCAAGCCCTAGGACTGGAAAAAAAAAAGATTTGAAACCAGAAAACTAGGAAATGAAGAATCACTGAAGGTTCAAACTGGGTCTTAAAAAAATCAACCAGTAGTTTGCCAGGAACTAGTGGCTCACACCTGTAATCCTAGCTACTAAAGAGCCTGGGATCTGTAGGATCATGGTTCAAGGCCAGCCCAGAATACACATCCATCTGATTGACACTTTTCCATCCCCATCTCCAAATAATCAGAAAAAGCAGGGCTGGAGGCATGGCTCAAGTAGTAGAGTGTCAGCCAAGCAAGCAAAGGCCCTGAGTTTAAACTCTTGGTATCAGAAAAAAAGAAAAAGAAAACAAACTTGTCTGATCTCTTTTTTGAGATAAGGTTACCAAACCTAAAAGACAAAAGCTATCCGGTGGTTGAGACTGCTCTTCAAAATTTTTGTTGTTGTTGTTGTATTTATTTTGGCAGAACTTTCTGATTCTACAGAATGACTGATTTTTTTTTAATCACACCTCTCAGATTTTTGAGGGAGACTTCCCTCACCTGCTATTACCTGCTCAGAGCTGGTTAGGGTATATAGAAATATTACTCAGCAGCCTCAATAACAAAGATGAACTTTATTTTGCTAAACTAGGGGTTAAAAATCATTCCAGTAAATAAAAATGAAATCACAAAATCATAAAGAAGGATGGACTAGAGATGTGTGTGTGTGTTTGTGTGTGTGTGTGCGTGTACACGCTTATATTGGAGCTTGAACTCAGGATTGGGTACCCTCCTTTAGCATTTTCACTCAAGCTGTGCTCTACCACTTGAGTCATACATCTACTTCTTTTTTGGTGGTTAATTGGAGATAAGAGTCTTATGGATTTTTCTGTCCAGGTTGGCTCTGAATGTCAATCCTCAGATCTCAGCTTCCTAAGTAGCTAGGATTACAGAAGTGAGTCACTGGTGCCGGCCTGGACTGGGATTTTAAAAACATCTTTCCAGAAAATTCTGGTTCATGATTCTGACCAACACATCTCTGCTTTTTTTTTTCTTGGATTTTATATTTTATCCTCATAAATCCTTCTTAAAGGGCCAAGTGAAAAAACAACTTGCCTTATGAAAATATTCGTTAAATCATGAACATGGTCCTCTGCCCTGAATGGATTTTTTATTTCGGGGGAAGGAGGAGTTGTATAATGTGTGATTTTTTAAAAATTTTTTTTTTTTTTGTTGGTTGTGGGGCTTGAACTCTAGGCTTGGGTGCTGTCCCTGTGCTCTTCAGCTCAAGGCAAGTGCTCTACCGCTTGAGCCACAGCGCTACTTCTGGTTTTCTAGTGGTTTATTGGAGATAAGAGTCTCACAGACTTTCCTGCCCGGGCTGGCTTTCAATCGTGATCCTCAGATCTCAGCCTCCTGAGTAGTTAGGATTACAGGCGTGAGCCACCGGTGCTGGCATAATGTGTGATTTTTGTACTGCCATAGCCCAAAGCAATATTTCCTACTTGTGAAACTTCTTGTTCTGATTGAATTGAATCTAGTACTATCTTAAGGACTCTCAAGAAGAGGTCAGCATTTCTCTTCTCTGACCCATTGGAACAAGCTTGCCTCCTACTGGTGCAGGTGAGAAAGGCTGTGAAAGAATTCAAAGTGGTGGAACTAATAGGGTTGGTGATCAGAGCCTCACTTGGGATAATCAGCAGCTAAGCTTTTGAAATGGCAGAACTGACGTCCTAGGGCAAAGTGGCAGATTTTACAGAAAGACACTCCATTCCTATGCAACCTGGTTCTCGAGTATGCAAGGCACCTGTTTGTTAATGACTTACACAATGGGTGGAGAGTGAGGATGGCTGGTGATGAGAGATGGCAGGGTTTTTCATTTCTTCTTAAAAACAAAACAACAATATTGCTGTGAAGCTGGGTGTTGGTAGTTTATGTCTGTAATCCTAGATATTCAGGAGGCTGAGATCTGGGGACTGTGATTTAAAGCCAGCATATGCAGGGAAGTCTGTGAAACTCTTATCGCCAGTTAACCACCCAATATTTGGAAATAAGAGCTGTGGCTCAAGTGGTAGAGTGCTAGCCATTGTCCTTAAGGACAGTGTTCAGTCCCTGAGTTCAAGACTCAGGACTGGAACAAAACAAAATCCACAACAAAACAAAACAAAAACATTGCTGTATTGATGAATTTCTCTGGGTTAAGCTTTTCAGATGTGTATTACAATCATTCTGACGTAAGCACTGGCATACTTTGGGTTCAATCTTTTCTCTCATGCATTCGTCAAGTATCTACCTTTGGTAGATATCTACAATTATTTTAATTCCATTTGTCATGTCCAGAGTTTATATGTCATATTAGTCAGTATTAAAAGTATTTTTAAAACTAGAAAAAGAGGCATTTCCCTCTAAATTTTCCCCAATCTTTGTAAATGTTCATGACTATATTAACAAAATTAATCAATTGGTATTTTGGGCTATTCTTTCTCAAACAACATTATTCTATGTATACATGTCTAATTCCCACTTACTTGCTATTTTAAACAGGTAATATTCAGTCATTAATGTGTTATTTTCTTGCTGCCTGGGATTT